AAAATATATTTAATTAATGAAATTAATATTATATTTTCTCAAATAAATAATTAACACTATGTATATATTTAAACGTTTAATATATATTCATTTTAATATGATATAATTAAATTACAATAGTTTATAAAAATTATTATAATTACATGTTCTCATAACAATAACAATTGCATAATAATATAGGCTCATTTGAGCTTCCATATGATTTCTATATGGAAATTTGAATTGTTCTTAAAACAACTTTTATGAAAAATATATATATGTTTATATAAGTAAAATATTAAGAATATAAATTTTTATAATATGGGAGTTATATAATTTCAATAAATAAAAAGAGAATTATAATTATTTCTCATAACATATAAAAAATTTTAATATTTATATTTCAATTATTTATAATTAATATAAATAAAGAACATGATGCAATCAGAATATATAATCAAAATTAGTAGTTAAATAAATATTATAATATTGATTTTAGATGCTAATTATTTTAATATTTGTTTAAAAGAAAGTATTTTTTAATTTATTAATATATATATAATTATTATAATTATTATAATAAAAAGTTTCAATTATGAGTTTTATATATCACATGTCATGTATCATCACATTTAATAATAATATTAAAAATAACAAAAAATAACAACCTGATATTAATATTATTTTAATATTTTTAATATTTTTTGTTCAATATGTTTTTCTTATAATTTTGGAAAAGTCTGAATGTTCTGCATGAAAATGTGAATGTCGATTCTAATACATATATATATATTATATGTATATATTATGTAATATATTATTATGGATTTAGTATACAATAAGCAATCAAATAAATTTTTGTTTTCTTAAAATGTAAAATTTTCCTTATATATTTGAATATATATAATTTATAAACATTTTAATAATTAAGTAATTTTTGAACATTTTTTTAGTACCTTTTTTCGCACATTTAATACAATATAAATTTTATTTTATATAACTTTTTAAGCATATTAATAGTAATAAATAAAGTTTTAAATCTATTTGGAAGAGGCCTGAGAAAAAGAGAGTATTAGAATAAAATACTATTTTTGCATATAAATTATTATTTTAAAAATTTTTTCATTTGTTTTGTTTGAAATTGCATACTATATTGTGCATTTTCTGCTTTAGTAATAAGAGAATCTAACTTATTCAAATGAGATCCCATCTTTTTATTGATATCAATTGCTTTTGATGTTGCCGGAATAGTTTCTATATTCTCTATGTATTTTTTATCATCAGATAATTCTACTATCAAGTTTTCTTCATTTATAGATGTTTCATCTATTTTGTTCTTTATCTCATTATGATTTTGTTCAGTTAGTTTATGAACTGGTGTATTATTTTTAGATCCTACTTTTACTTTAAGTAAACTACCCAAACTGCCACAAATATTCTGTAAAATATCTTTATTTTACAAAGTCATCCAAAACATAACTATTATAACTAGCAAATATTTATTGTATTTAATAATAATTATTTAAATATAATTCTTATTACTATTTTTATTAAAAAAATATATTTAATTATTTAACCTTAAATCTGTTAATTTTTTTTTGAGTAACATTGAGTATACTGTTTAATTCATCTAGTCCACCACTGATTCGTTGTGTAGTTTCACTAGAAGAATCCAAGTTCTATAAATTATATGAAACTTTGAAAATATTTGACAATACTATGAAATTATTAATCTTTCATTTATGAAAAAATAATTTTGTCTCATTAATTATTATTATTTTCGTATAATAATAAAAATAAAAAAATTACAAAAATTAAAATTTTTAAGAAAATTAATATTGCATTTATAAATAAAAAAAAATAAAATTCTAATTAAAATTTTATTCAATAATAAAAAGGAATAATTACTTGAATCATTGCATCATCGTCATTATTAACATTTTCTTCAAACTTTTGTGTTTCTTTCCATTCTTCTTCACTTGGTATTGGCAATCCTAATAATTCCGCCCTTTCGCATGCATAAATATAGGCTTGAGACATTGTATCGATTGTATGATATTATTAAATAATATTTGATAATATTTAGGAATAAAAATAGATTTATTTTATCTTAGATATTCTATGAATGTTACAATTGACAGAATATTAGAAAGGAATGAGAACGTACACTATTTAAGGGATCTTAAGATCTATATATTTTGAGAGAAATCGTGCGCATACTCCATTAAAAAATAAAGTTTTTATTCAAAATATCGAATATTATAGCATAATAATAATAAGAATAACAATTTAAGTTATAAAATAGATTACAAAAATATATATAGAACTTTTTAATTTGACAAAATTATGCGATTTTGCAAATATCTAAAATTTTATTTTAGCATTTTAATAAATATATAAATGATTAATTAATATTTTTCTATAAAGATTGATCTAAATAATTTTCTAATGAATTAAATTAAAAATAATAATAAATAAATTAAATTATTTCAAATAATAAAAAAAGTATCAATCAACAACAAATCAACTATGCATACATTTAAGGTTATAATATTTGTATTTAAATTATTTATATCGATTTAAAATTTAAATATTAGTAACGAAAAAAATAAATTTAAAATATTTTTAAATAAAATTCAGTTGAAAAATGGATAAAAACAAATTAATACAAACGAAAAAAAAATAAAATTTAAATTTCAAAATATTTTTATCATTTATCTTTAAATAAAAATAATATATTTTTTATATATGTATATATAAATATAAATTATAATTATTTTATGTATACTATTGTATATTATATTTCTTAAATAAATAAATAAATCAGAATACTAAAATAAATGATTTCAATAAAATATTAAACATCATTTAATAATTATAAAATACATAGAAGATTTATTTCTTTGGGAAGAATACTTAATACTTGAATATTAAACAATATTAATATTATAATTACAACAAATTATAATGTTAAGTATAATAATGTTTATTTTTACATAAATATAAAAATCTAAATTTAATAATATTTAATTTATCTTTGTGCAAAATAATAAATTTAATATCACAAGAAAAAATTTTATTTAAAATGAAATATTTTAATACTTACCAACTGAATAAAAAGAATACAATATATTTTCATTAAATATATAATTTAATATTTATAATAAACATATAATTTATAACTATCAATAACTATTGTTATAAATATTTTTAATAAATATTTTATTAAAAGAATAACTCCTTAGATAGATAGAAATAAATAGATAGAAGACGGGAGGGGCAAAGAATGCAATTGTAATTAAAATATGAAAAATCTAAAATATATTAAAAGTTATTTAAGTTGTTTACAATTTATAATTAAAATATAATATATAAAATATGTTTTATATGGAATATTTTTATCATTCATTTTAATTAATTTTTACATATGAATGTGAATACAATATATCTTATCATACAGAATGCTCCAAAAATATGGAAATAAAAGTTAATTAAAGATTTTTGAAGTAATTTCAAACAATATTTTGCAAAAACTTTTGTTACGACTTTATTAACGAGTTATTAATAAAAAAAATACTGACCAATCACAAAACGCAGTCTAATCGAGCTACGACGATAGCGTTGGTTATGTCTCCAATCAAGCATGAACAACAAAATCCATATAATATATATCAAATATATATAATATATAATATATATAATATAATATAAATAAATATATAATATAATATATATAATATAATATAAATAAATATATAATATAATATATATAATATA